TGCTTTCTCAAGGAACGCATTAAAATTCAACGGAACAACAACACGAGCCATCTATCTACAATCAAACATAAACAAGCAAGATACTAATCAGGTACTAAGTTTCATGATAAATTGAAGTTCAGTTAATTTACTTAAAGAACTCCCACTTAGATAGACATCCCTCTAATCCTCTAAGTGATCACGTGATCCAAATCAACTAAACCATGTCCGATCATCACGTGAGATGGAGTAGTTTCATTGGTGAACATCTTTATGTTGATCATATCTACTATATGATTCACGCTCGACCTTTCGGTCTCCGTGTTCCGAGGCCATATCTGTATATGCTTGGCTCGTCAAGTTTAACCTGAGTATTCCGCGTGTGCAACTGTTTTGCACCCGTTGTATTTGAACGTAGAACCTATCCCACCCGATCATCACGTGGTGTCTCAGCACGAAGAACTTTCGCAACGGTGCATACTCAGGGAGAACACTACTTGATAATTTAGTGAGAGATCATCTTATAATGCTACCGTCAATCAAAGCAAGATAAGATGCATAAAAGATAAACATCACATGCAATCAATATAAGTGATATGATATGGCCATCATCATCTTGTGCTTGTGATCTCCATCTCTGAAGCACCGTCGTGATCACCATCGTCACCGGCGCAACACCTTGATCTCCATCGTAGCATCGTTGTCGTCTCGCCAAGCTTGTGCTTCCACGACTATCGCTACCGTTTAGTGATAAAGTAAAGCATTACAACGCGATTGCATTGCATACAATAAAGCGACAACCATATGGCTCCTACCAGTTGCCGATAACTCGGTTACAAAACATGATCATCTCATACAATAAAATTTAGCATCATGTCTTGACCATATCACATCACAACATACCCTGCAAAAACAAGTTAGACGTCCTCTACTTTGTTGTTGCAAGTTTTTACGTGGCTGCTACGGGCTTAAGCAAGAACCAATCTTACCTACGCATCAAAACCACAACGATAGTTTGTCAAGTTGGTGCTGTTTTAACCTTCGCAAGGACCGGGCGTAGCCACACTCGATTCAACTAAAGTTGGAGAAACTGTCACCCGCAAGCCACCTATGTGCAAAGCACGTCGGGAGAACCGGTCTCGCGTAAGCGTACGCGTAATGTCGGTCCGGGCCGCTTCGTCCAACAATACCGCCGAACCAAAGTATGACATGCTGGTAAGCAGTATGACTTATATCGCCCACAACTCACTTGTGTTCTACTCGTGCATATAACATCAACATATAAAACCTAGGCTCGGATGCCACTGTAGGGTTTCGTAGTAATTTCAAAAAATTTCCTACGCACACGCAAGATCATGGTGATGTATAGCAACGAGAGGGGGAGTATGATCTACATACCTAGTAGATCGACAACGGAAGTGTTTGGTTGATGTAGTCATACGTCTCCACGATCCGACCGATCAAGCACCGAAACTACGGCACCTCCGAGTTCTAGCACACGTTCAGCTCGATGACGATCCCCGGACTCCGATCCAGCAAAGTGTCGGGGAAGAGTTTCGTCAGCACGACGGCGTGGTGACGATCTTGACGTACTACTGCTGCAGGGCTTCTCCTAAGCACCGCTACAATATTATCGAGGACTATGGTGGCTGGGGGCGCCGCACACGGCTAAGGAATAGATCACGTGGATCAACTTGTGTGTCTCTGGGGTGTCCCTACCTCTGTATATAAAGGACTAAAGGGGGGAAGGCTGGCCGGCCAAGGAGGGCGCGCCAGGAGAGTCCTACTCCCTCTGGGAGTAGGACCCCCCCTCCCAATCCTAGTTGGAATAGGATTCGCGGAGGGGGGAAAAGAGAGAGAGGGGCCGGCCCCCTCTCCTTGTCCTATTCGGACCAAGGGAGGGGAGGGGCGCGTGGCCCATGTAGGGCTGCCTCTTCTCTTTTCCACTAAGGCCCATCATGGCCCATTTAGCTCCCGGAGGGTTCCGATAACCTCCTGGTACTCCGATAAAATCCCGATTTCACCCGAAACACTTCCGGTATCCAAACATAGGCTTCCAATATATCAATCTTTATGTCTCGACCATTTCGAGACTCCTCGTCATGTTCGTGATCACATCCGGGACTCCGAACAAACTTCGGTACATCAAAATGTATAAACTCATAATATAACTGTCATCGTAACCTTAAGCGTGCGGACCCTACGGGTTCGAGAACAATGTAGACATGGACGAGACATGTCTCCAGTCAATAACCAATAGCGGAACCTGGATGCTCATATTGGCTCCTACATATTCTACGAAGATCTTTATCGGTCAGACCGCATAACAACATACGTTGTTCCCTTTGTCATCGGTATGTTACTTGTCCGAGATTCGATCGTCGGTATTCCAAATACCTAGTTTAATCTCGTTACCGGCAAGTCTCTTTACTCGTTTTGTAATACATCATCCCGCAACTAACTCATTGGTTGCAGTGCTTGCAAGGCTTAAGTGATGTGCATTACCGAGAGGGCCCAGAGATACCTCTCTGACAATCGGAGTGACAAATCCTAATCTCGAAATACGCCAACCCAACATGTACCTTTGGAGACACCTGTAGAGCTCCGTTATAATCACCCAGTTACGTTGTGACGTTTGGTAGCACACAAAGTGTTCCTCTGGTAAACGGGAGTTGCATAATCTCATAGTCATAGGAACATGTATAAGTCATGAAGAAAGAAATAGCAACATACTAAACGATCAGGTGCTAAGCTAGTGGAATGGGTCATGTCAATCAGATCATTCACTTAATGATGTGATCCCGTTAATCAAATAACAACTACTTGTTTATGGTTAGGAAACATAACCATCTTTGATTAACGAGCTAGTCAAGTAGAGGCATACTAGTGACAATTTATTTGTCTATGTATTCACACATGTATTATGTTTTCGGTTAATACAATTCTAGCATGAATAATAAACATTTATCATGATATAAGGAAATAAATAATAACTTTATTATTGCCTCTAGGGCATATTTCCTTCACTTTTAACCCCGGGAATACCATGGTACATTCCGTTTAAACTACAACATAGGTCGAGTGCCACGATGGACAGGGGACGGGTGCTTCCACCACGTCCAGATGCCAGGTAATTTCCTTAGTGACCATGATCTGCTGCTCAATACCCCCCCCCCCCTATGTCTCCGCCAAACATTCAAGGCATTGGTCAGGCGACTAACCTTTAATGTGGAGGCGATGTTGTTCTTTTGCGAGACGAAAGACACCTTGTACTTGAAGTCACCAAAATAAAACCAATACTCTTCAAACTTGAAACATGAATTCCTTATCTCAAATATGTTCTCGTTTAGCAGGAGTAGGGCATGATCTGAGTTATAAATGGATGGCTTGTATGAAGGCCCCAGGAAACATCACATCTCAATCATCCGAAGAAAATTCAAGGCCAACTGATGAAGCAATCGTCACTTTCCCTTCAAACTTGATCGGTTTCATCTCAAAACCTAGATTCTTACTCGAAGATTATCCAATTTTCTAAGCAGTGTATATCACAACTTTTTTGAAACCTTCTTAATTTTTTACCACAACATGTTGATGCCATCAAGTTTCATGTTTTCCGGACTTTGTTTACATTTTGAAAACTATATGTACAAAATGTCTAAAAAAACACTTAATGACTACAAAAGGAAATAGATGTGGGGAAAGAAACGATAAGAAAAAACAAGAACAAATAGTATTGGAAAGAACATAGCATAAAATGAAAAAATAAAGCACGTAATGCACAAAAGAAATGAAACAAAAGAAAGGAGAGAGAAAAAAAAGTTTGTCGAGTGCCATGTGGCAGGAACTCCGGAAAGTCCTTGTTTCTCGAGTACCACGTGGCAGGAACTCGACACAATCCTTTTTTGGCGAGTACCATGTGATGGGAACTCAGCAAAGGCGTTATTTGCTGAATGTCGGCCTTTTGACTAGTTTTTTCTTCGTGTAACTCAACATAAGTCATGTTTATCGAGTGCATGCACTCCGCAAAACAAGTTGTCACTAGGCAAATTTGATATTAACTACTAACTATTTCCTCCATACAGTATACTTTAATGATCTAAACGCTCTTATATTTGTTTACGGTGGTGGGAGTAGTATTTTTTGAGTAAAAATTAGTTCCTCAAATGCTTGAGCCCACAAAGCAGCGAGGCCAATTCCCTCTGGCTCATGCCCAGAAGGCCAGAACCCAGAACAGACCATGTCAAGAACTCCGGCGATTCACCTCACCCCAAATCCGGCGTGGAGCTGTCTTCTCCGTCAAATCCGGCCAACGGGGGAGCTCGCCCGCTTCGCTCCGGAAGTGATGCCCTCGAAGTTGGTGGCCGTTCGTCGTCCTTCCTGTGATGGAAGCGACTGCCGCCGTGGAGGTGGATCTGACCGCCGCGGCGCTTGATTTGGCAGCGCAGGAGCTTGAATCGGCTGCCAAGGATCTCGCCTTGACATGGCCTTTGACCACCCCTTGAGCCATTCGCATCCGGCGTCATCGGCGATGAGCGCGAGGTAAGGAGGAGCTGGTTGGGCGGAAGGAGCCAGAGGAGGCGGGTTCCACTATGCTGGCTACTCCTCGTGGAAGGTTCCACCCGGGCGCTGCACTCCGCCACCAATATCATCGACCGAGCTCGGCCAAGGTCCGGGCGTCCTCCATCCTTCCACAGAGCAGAGCAGCGGCCAGCATGGCGGGGCGGCTTGCCGCCGCGCCGGACGGGAGCGCCAACGCCAACGGCTCGGCGGCTCCCGACCGAGCGCGCGGCTTCTACCGCGACCGGATCCGGCGGGTCGCCGTGTCCGGAGGGCTGAGAAGATCGGCTCTCTTCGACCACTCCCAGTCCGGTCATAGCGGATCCGGCTACTCCAACCACTCCGGCGCGTCGAATTCGTACCCGTCCAACAACTCCGGCATCTCTGCTGCTGAACCGGACTTCGGCGCCCATGAGCTCACGGTGATCGCCATCCAAATGGTCAGTGACGGTTACGCCCAGCGCATGGTCCGAGAATTCTGCGGCGGCGGCGGCCTGGAGAATTGGTTCTTGGAGCTTGACGTGGGCTGGGTTCTCCAGATCCACAACAAGACCGACTTATGTCAGCAGCTCCAGCTTCAACTCAAATCGCCGTCATGGCTCCAAGACTTTGTCGAGAGGTGGATTCGAGCTCTCATGGTAACAATCTCCAGCATCGTTGAGGCGCTCGACAAAGTTCAGACGTTGTTGCTCGCAAGGTTTGGCAAAGCAAGCATCTCGGAGATGCTCGTCTTTGTCGACGCCGTCATCCCACTGCTCAAGGCGGGGAAGCTACGGGCCGTGCTAGACATGTATATTTGTGTCTGCACTGCGTCGTACATGTTCACTCTGGATGTGTTCTCTCTGGAAGCCCAGATCATATTCGACGAGATACGCCGCTCGTTGGGGACAGAAAGAAACAAGCTATGTGATGCCATATCCACCACAGTGGAGGAGGTCAGGGCACTCATGGAGGACGATGACTCGTGGGCTATCGAGTTTCCTCAAGGAGGAGCCGGGGTTCACCGGAACACCCGGTTGATGGTGGGTTACATCGTGTCTATGACGGATGCATTGGTGTCGACACGGAAGTCCGCACCAAGCCACAACACTGGAAATCTTCATGGCCTGATAGATGACACCATCAAACATTTGAAGGATCTGCTTCCGAGAAAGTCAGAGCTGTGCTTGGATGCAGGCATGAGGTACCTATTCCTGCTCAACAATTCCTATTTCATAGCCACCAGGGACTTTATTCGTGGGCCATACTGTGGAGACTCTCAACACCACCAGGGACTTGAACTTACACTTGAGTGCAAAGATCACATGGACAGCTATCTCGATGTTTCGTGGGCTCATGTGATATCCTCCATATCGAAATCGAATCCTCCTGGACCGCTGCGTCGTTGGATGACCAACACCTCTTCGCTGGCTAAATTTGAGTCAGCGTTTCATCAAACCTACCAAGCTCAGAAGCTCTGGAAGGTTCCGGACCCTCAGCTCAAAGATGCGCTACGAAGGGCTATCATCGAGAGAGTCATCTCAAGTTACAACGACTATCTGAAGAAGCATCCTGAGCTAGCGGAGCACGCTAGCCGCGGAAACAGCACTCCCGCCGTCTTGGAAGAGATGTTGGGACAGCTATTTGAAGGCTGAAAACTTCTTTGAGGCATCGAACAGAGTCACCAACTAATAAGAGGCCAGAGTTATGTTTCATCCAGAGCATTTGGAGTGAAGTTTTATTCTGGATTTGAGGGGTCTTATTTGACTTGTGATTCCATGTTAAATACTCCCACATATCTATGTGTCATGTTTACTTTTCATTATTCAATATTTTATAGACGTTTATTTTCATCTATTTCAGTGAAACTTGAGCTTGCAGAGGCAAGGTCACCCAGATGCACAGGAGTCCTGTGCATCTGAACTATGGGATGGGGAAATTTCATCATAAAATAGCTATATTTGTTGTAGCTGTACTATTTTGTCTGGAAAATCATTTGCATTTCATATACATAAATTTTTCTGATGTCTTTTAGGAAAAAACTATCAAAAACTGTTTAGTATTGTAGTTTTTGATAGTTTTCCTACAAATTTGGTCAAACTCTGCACTGTTTGACATCAGACGAAATTTATACACCTTCTCAGCCACCGGCTGACACTGGATACACAGTACTGCAAGCGCAGTACACACAGAAAAGTACCATGAGAAATCAACACTCAGTTTTGCCAAAAAAAAATCATCAGACTCTGAAAGATGAGGTATACAAAATTCAGACCAAAATCGGCAATTCTTTTGCACATAAGGAGCCTGTATGGACATGGACATCAGCCTCTGAAGAATTTAGGGATCTCTCATAAGCATGGACATGGCCTGCAAATACCAAGCCCGACATTTACTTAACAAACCATTTCTCGAAAGCAGCCCTCCATATAATGTGGAGCATGGATGAGAACCAACTGGGGAGTGTACTTTGCTAATAATAACAAAAATACATGTATTGGAATAGTCATAATAATAAGCAAAATGTGTCTACACTAAAAATAGAACATCCAGCTGTTCAACCATATACATGCTGCTAAAACAGAATATAATGGTCAGAACATGCTGCCAGTGTATAAAGAATAACTGTGTTTGCTAATCACATTCAGCATAGCATCTCATAATGGCCAGGGTACAGGGTTCAGGATTACAGCAGAATTTCAAAGCGACGTACCATGAAGGCATGAACCGACACGCTGTACTACGACCCATACGGCCCACATTTCCTGTTTCAAACAATGTCTTATACCCTAAAAGAAGGCGCCTTTTGAAGAGGAAAATGGTTAATTATAATTCAGGGGGCACATTGCTGCCACCTGAATTAATACATGTGTACCATCTCAGTTCTTCCTGCTGCATTATGATGCAGTTGCACAGCTCAGAGAAAACATGGACTTTCTATCAGCCTTGTTACCAATACAGCAATTCAAAGTTCCAGACCCATTGACTAACCGAGCAAGCTAGGATGCAGAAAATTCATCAAGAGGGAACAACTGCGTAAGTAGTGATCCACACATGATCAGATGGTCTTCCACTAGTGCAGTTCACAAAATATGGAATCCGTTTATGAAAATAGAGAATTTTACAAAAAGGAAAACAATGGAACTAAACATTTAACGCCCCTCTTCCATTGTCATAGTCATGCCATTAAGAGACATTTCCAGGTCATAGTCATGCCTTTGGTCTTCAACTTCATACTTCCGTTGCCTAAAATATACAGGCTCCTTCGGAGTAGGAAGCGGGGCTGTTTCATTTTCTAACATGAACACGGTGGATGACATGAGTGGACGAGCACTTGGATCATCTTGAACACACAAGAGACCTAACTGAATACACCGCAGAACTTCATGAAGTGGACAGATCTCCATAATGGACGAGTCCACCAATTCTCTTGCATTTCCATCTTTCCATAAGCTCCATGCCTAAGTCAATAAAATCCTCAATTTAATATGAGTTTTGATTTGTTAAACTTTCGAGCATTTTAGTGAACTTACATAAGCTATAAGGCTTGGAAAGTCCATGACGAGATGGGACGAACTGATCTTTAACCCGCTTACAATCTCCAAGAGTAGAACACCAAAGCTATAGGTGTCAGACTTGACAGAAAAGGAACCTTCCATTGCATATTCAGGAGACATGTAACCGCTGTTTGAATCAATCCAAGAAACAGAATTAGTTAAGCTGTAGAAAATTACCATCTTAAGCTTTACCTGGTGCATGCATTACTTACTATGTACCAACAACGCGGACAGTGTTCCCTTGTTGCTCATTTCCTCCAAAGATCCTTGCCATACCAAAATCTGATATTTTAGGGTTCATTTCCGCATCTAACAAGACATTGCTTGCTTTGAGATCTCTATGGATTATTGTTAGCCTTGAATCTTGGTGGAGATAAAGAAGCCCCCTTGCTATTCCTTTAATTACCTTGAACCTGGTCGGCCAATCAAGCACACCATCTCTTGTGGCATCTTGCAAGAAAGTGCAAAATTCAAAGCATTAACAACCATCACAAATTCAGTGATTCTAAGAATGTTTCGGGAGACTTGACCATGAGAGCAGAACATACCAAAAAGGAAGGCATCTAAGCTTTTGTTAGGTAAGTATTCATATATCAACAACTTCTCATCTTTGTGAGTGCAGTAACCAAGAAGCCTAACTAAGTTTCTATGCTGCAATTTGGCAATCAGAACCAGTTCATTTCTGAACTCGTCGGCCCCTTGACCAGAACTCTTGCTTAGCCTTTTGACAGCAACTTCATTGCCACCTTGTAACCTCCCCTAAAGAACACATCATTCTTGAATTGAACAAAAGATGGGAATTTTTTTGTATCGATGATGATCAGGTTAAAACTTTTTACCTTGTAAACTTTTCCGAAGCCACCTTTCCCGAGCATGTTGTAGTCCGAGAAATTGTCCGTTGCAGTAACAACATCTTCAAAGCAAATATATGGAAGTTCTATGGTTTCGTTCTCAAGTTCGATAGATTTGGAATTTTTCGAGTGTTGTCGTGCATACTTATTCTTAATTTTCTTGATTCGTCGTTTGCCTGACAGAAATAGCTTTGTATCAATATTGTTTCTTACGAATAACTCATGAATTGCATCAATATTGGCATACAACTGTACAAGTAGTAGTCTTACTGAAGAACAGAAAAGGGGATAATGGTAGGAAATGGGTTACCTTCAGGTGGAGCTCCGGCGGAGTGGCTCGTGGTGACGGTGGTGGCTGACGCCGACGGCGTAGGGGAGTGTGGCGCACCAACCCGAGCGACTAGTATACCGGCGGTAAGCGTGGCGGGCCCATCGCTGCCGGCGACGGCGCGCGGCCGGAGGGCCAAGGGAAATCAGCGGGGGATGGCCACGACAGCGCGATGGAGTGCCGGACTGGTTCGCCGGGGAGGCACAGGTAAGGCTGAGAAGATAAAGGCGGCGGTGACGTCATTAACTGGCTTAGCCACCGCCGGCGGCAGCAGAAGCAGCGGCCACAGCGGGGGGCAGGATGGGGCGCGACTCGCGTCAACAGTTGCCAGAATGGGCCGGTCCAGCGGGGAACAAAGCCTTCAGAGCTTTTTTTTTTCTTCTTCTTCCGTTTTTTTCTTCACATTTTCTGCTTTTGTTTTTCACTTTATTTTGTTTACTTTTGCTTATATTTCGAAATATTCTATCTACATATTATAGAAATCACTTTACATACAGAAATTGAAAAGTGTTGATCATGCATTTAGACAATGTTAAACATGTACTCCCTCTGATGCAAAAAAAAAGTGTTGCACCTTTAGTTTAAATCTGAATTAATGTTGAAGCCACGACACCTTTTTGGATCGGAGGGAGTATAGAAAATGTTTCGGATGTATACAACAAAAATGTATAATTTGTATACCCATGGACGGGCCTGCCATCTCGCTTCCTTTCCCCTTATCATTCTTCTTGTCCTTCTTGACGAGCGCGACGGCCTCGACGACGCGGTTGAGCTTCTTGGTGAGGTACGGGACCATGGTGGCCACGTCCATGGTCCTCGTGACCTTCACCTCATCCTTGCTAGCTTCCAGCATCACACCCTTTACTCCCGGAGAATGAATAAAACACACACAGATGCGTCAATTTCAACCGAAAAGACAAAATTAGGCTCCGTTTGGTTCATAGGAATACAAAACTTAGGAACCAAGAAGGAAAATGTAGGAACCAAGAAGAAAAAATGTAGGAACCAAAAAGGAAAGTACCAGCATAAATAAGTACAATGGGGGGGGGCATGGGCCCCCTGTCCACTCCTTATTATTTTCACATGCTAATAATCATGATATATGATCCAAGATTTTAATGATGCATTCGGTTCGTAGGTTTCCTGCAGGATTTTCATAGGAACACCGTTCCTTTGGAATTCTTTAGCATTTTGCTTTATTTTGTTTATTACTTTAGCTTATATTTCAAAATATTCTAAATATATCTATTATACAAATCACTTCAGATAGAAATTGAAAAGTGTTGATCGTGCAATTAAAATATATTAAAAATATACTCCCTCCGATCCAAAACAAAATGTCGTGCATTTAGTTCAAATTTGAATTAAAGATGAACTAAAGCCATAATACTTTTTGAATCAGATAGAGTATAGAAAAATGTTTCTGATGTATACAAGAAATGTACAATGCTACACCACAATATGTATATAAAAAATGTTAATCATGTATCTAAATATATATTAAACATGCATAAAAAAATATTCCTTATGTACACAGAAAATGAAAGAATGTATATGAAAAAAGTACATAAAAACAAACATATATAAATATTAATAATGTATTTATAAAAATGTGTTGTGATTAATAAAAATGTGCAATCTGTATAAAAAAGTAGACATAAATAATATATGTTTAAAAAATATCAATCATGTATTTAGAAAATGTTAAAACATGTATATAACAAATGTTGCTGATTTATACAAAAAATCTACAATATATGTGAAAACATTAGACATAAAAAACACATGTTCTAAAAAATGTTTATCATGTATTTATATAAGTTTGTTTCTGATGTATACAATAAATGTACAATGTGTAAAAATTGGACACCAAAAATACTTAAAAAATTGTTAATCATGTATTTTCCATGGGTTGACCAACTTTTGTTTTTCGCTTTATTTTTATTACTTTTGCTTATATCTCAAAATATTATAAATATATCTATTATAGAAATCAACTTACATACATAATTGAAAAGTGTTGATCATACATTTAGAAAATGTTAAACATGTACTCACCGATCCAAACAAAATGTGTCGCGCCTTTAGTTTAAATTTGAATTAAAGATGAACTAAAGCGATGATACTTTTTTTTAATCGGAGGGAGTATAGAAAAATGTTTCTGATGTACACAAGAAATGTACAATGTGACATCAAAATATGTATATGAAAAAATGTTACTCTACAAAGACTTATATTTAGGATCGGGGGGAGTAAACGTGTATTAAAAAATATTTCTGATGTACATAGAAAATGAACAAATGTGTATGGACAAAAGTAGACATAAAAACATATATGATATAAAAAATGTTAAACATGTATAAAAATGTTTTTGTGCTTTATAAAAATATGCATTCTGTATGGAAAAAAGTAGACATAAATAATATATGTTTAAAAAAATGTCAATCATGTATTTCAGAAATGTTCTTTTTGCATGGTAATACGTGTCTCATTCATATCATAAAGCTCATAGTACAAGTCACATAAACACCGACATGACAAAAATGAAAAGACAACAGAACGTCTCTGAGCTTGACACCAACGCCTGTCACCTGCCCTCGGCACCACCACAATAGCCAGCAAAGGAAAATTTGATGGATCACCGTAAACATGTATATAACAAATGTTGGTGATGTATACAAAAAAATCTACAATACATATGGAAACAACTTATACATAAAAAATACATGTTCTAAAAAATGTTAATCCTATATTTAACTTTTCTAAAACTATATATAATTTTTTTCTGATGTACACAGTAAAAGTACAATGTGCAAAAGGTAGACAACAAAATTATGTTTAGAAAATATTAATCATGTATTTGAAAAATGTTATATATGTATTAAAAATTCCTGATATTAAAAAAAGTAGAATGGAATAAAAAATGAAACAAAGAAAAACAATGAAAACCGAAAAAGAAACAAAGAAAACAAAAAAAACCAGTGCAAAAGAATGAAGAAAGTGAAAAAAGAGAAAGAATGAAGAAGCTAGAAAACAGAAGAAAAAACAAAAGGAAACAAAAAAAGAAAAAATGAACAAAACACATCAACGATGAGACTGTACAAACACCGATCGAGAAACATGCTACTAGTCCGACCCATGCATGCTACCATAGCTCCCACGGGCAAGATGTGTGTGGGCAATGGGCGACTGACTTGCCATGGGCTAACCGACTTCTGTCGCTCCGCTCGATGATATCCCATCTCGGGCTAGGGTCTGCCTCTTCTTTGCTCAGTTCCAGCTGCATTATGCAGTTCTGCTATGTTTACGAGGTTAAAAAATAATGTTCGCAATCTATAAAAATATTCATGATTTTAGATATGTTTACGAGTTTAAAAAATGTTCATGATTTTTAAAAATTATTCATGAATTCACGAAAATAAGAGTGATAGTGTATCTCAGTGATGCAGCAAAATGTGGCCATGATCATTGGAGGTTATGATTTTTATTTGTCCCATTGCAACGCACGAGCCACTTTGCTAGTAATAAGAATAAAGGGGCCATTACTTCTGGCGGTACATCTTGAAAATCGCCCATAAAGTTGGTAATAATTACCCACTATGCCACCCGTAATTGAAAAAAAAGGTTCGTTTTTTCCTTAGTTGCTACACCAGACTTTGGTTTATTATATACGAAACGCCCCTCTAAAGTATAACAAAGGATGAATAGTGCACTGGCCACATCAGCACCCTCCAACCACTTAGACCTAGGTTTGAATCCTTCCTATCCCATTTTTCTTTCCTTTTTTTTTCTTTTATCGCCACATTCAAATACCTTTTAGAATAATCATATCTTTTAAACCTTAACTCGAAATCTAACATATTATCCTCAGAAAAATATGTAGATTTCCAATATGTTATTATCTTGCATGTCAACCATTTCTAAACATCTTATTTTTTGCTTAATTTTTCTTTAATCGAGTAGATTCAAATACTTGTTAAAATATTGATATTTGTCAAATCCTAAGTCGAACTTTAGCTTGTTATATATGAAAACTCCTCAGGAAAAATTCCTCAGGAAAAATCATATTTACGAATTCATGAAAATATGCTATTATCTTGCATGTCAATCATCTCTAAAATTAGGTTTAGGATGCAATCTTAATCAATACTACCTTTTTAATATGTGGTATTTTGGAAATGCCTATTATATATGTTCCTACACCATTTAAATCGAGTACATATGATAGTTTGATGCGTTCACAAAAACTATTATTGGCACCGTAGGGGATGTTGATTCCTACTAAAATTACAACAGGTGTATAATCATCCTCTCTATTTTACAACATGTGTTATTTTGCAGCGTTTCCTCCTGATTAAACGCTGCTAAACTAATTATTATATTATAAGTGACCTTCTAATTTAGGAGCAACCTCAAATAATAAATGAAAATGGTGCATATTACGTGTATAGAATTTTTTGTAGTCATATGATCGACGACACTACTAGCTAACCACATCTCTCTGTCAAACCCCCCAGACACTTCCGCTGCCCCCCCCCCCCTGGAAACTATTATAAAAAATGTCGTGTTTGAAATATC